TCTCAGTGGTGAATTAAGAATTTACAAAATACACCTTATGATGCCCACTACAGAGAAAGGAAAACCTACCCCACTTATTAACGAGTGAGAATTGAGAATTCTCAATAAAAGTCAGACAGATATCCTGAGGAGATCGTGTTCTTTTTGACTGAGTGGTAACATTTTACTGGATTGCAAGAAATTATTTTATGAATTTCTCCTGATGAATCTGTATCTTGGAGTAGTTTGAAGTAAGTGAACTGCATCCATATAAGTTGGTAATAAGAGGTTGATTTAGACAACATTTTGAAGAAGTGTTTCGTGTAAGTCGCTCTTCCCATTTTAGATGAAGACGCCGATAAATATTTGTTAAAGCATCTCTGATAGCATAAGATGTAAAATTCCAATATTGTACGGAGTTGATCTTGCAGAAATGCTCAAAGGTCACGCCAACCAATTGTGTTCGTTCAAACGTTACTATGGTATTTGCAACATCGAAACGATTAAACAATTTTGATAGCTTTAATAAGCTAATTTCAAAATGGCTACGGTTTTCTCCTTGACAACTGCTGGGCTCATCAGCAACAACCAAAGAAGTTTTTCTATTCGTGGATACTTCACGATCGACTTGGATCTATTTCTGGAGAACTTTAGTCATCCACTGGTTTTGCAGATTATTCTTCTTTAAGTTACATGGAGTTTGTGGACATATTCTCTGACACACCCATTGGCTTGTTTGTGCGGGGATGCTGTCATACTGCTTTGGTTCTGGTCGCAAGCAAGTTTCACAGCAGGAAACGACAATCTGAAATTTTTATATCTAGATTGAGCCAAGGGAATCTAGAAGAAGCTTATCTGATTAACAAGATACTCCTTTATGAGAAACACTGCCATGGTCAAGATCACAGTGCACTCCTCTTATTATGCGCATCCAACTTACCGGCGTACAGTGAGCGAACTGGGGACTTAGGGACATTTTGGATTTTCCAGTTTCCTGTTGGCTAGTGGATATGAATTCTGAGGTACAGCTGTCTTGCAAACGATCCTGATGTCCATTTTCTAGTGTAGACGTCAACCGTCTTTGGTATACTAATTAGCTATTATGCAAAGCAACCATAGCATTTAATTTGTGTGAGTGAGTTTCAACCTCCCTAAGTATCTTTGTATCTGTTGATGTCGACACTTGGACTTGTAATGGTACTCTTTGAGGGCTTTCGTTGAATATTTAGTCAGAGGTTTAGTTTTAGGAGGGTTGGATCTCACTAGACACGAAACGATGTTGCAAAACCATAGCAAGTACTTCACGATTTCACCTCTATTACCTAATGTAATGTTACTATCAGTCCTTTTCTCCTCACGGACAATACGGTGATTACTAGTGATTGGGTGCTATCTTGATTTGTCGTGGAGGTTTTATCGCTAGATGATGGACAACATTTGTAGCTCATCACCAGGAATGATGATATCCTCAGCACTACGTTCATGAAGAGATAGGCCATATTCGAATGTTACGCAAATGTTTGGGTAGTGTTGTCCATTTATAAGTTGGAGAAGAGATTTACCAAGCCTTTGACCCCTTTGACCTTAAATTTCACCCGATCACTCTAATAAGGAATCCTTATTAAAGTGAAACTGTGTTATTTTCTACTGTCAGACTGTTCTTCATGACTGATTTGCTCGGTCACTTTTGTCCTTGGCTCGTGAATGCTTGTTGATTCATTTTTCTTTGGAATGCCTTAATTGTAGATATTCTTTCGCAGCCTTCGAAGATGGGTTTCTATCATCCCCACCCGTCAGTACACCATGATCCATATTATCAGACCTCTTAAATTCATATTCATCTTCACTTTGTCCATGATTTAAGTAATTACTAACAGCCACTTACAAAATAGAAGGATTTATGAATGTAGATACTAGTTGGATGGTATACAGCACTCGATTGGCTCTCAATAATCCTCAGTCCTATCCCTTCTATCCTTTTCTACATAGCGCTGCATAAAAGCTTGAAATTCGTCAGTGGGAAGAGTCGTCAAGTTTTTACATATCGTCACTTGATTTGGCCTTGTTATATATATCTATGTGGTTCTAGACTATCTTACGTCGAACAATAACAAACTCAACTGAAACCACACGAAGTTAGTGAAGAAATATACACTATTCAGTCACGTAAGATATATTTGTTTGAAAAAATTACTAGAAGAAGAAATGTCTATTGTTGAGAAATGCCTCCGCGATCACACATTTCCACAAAAATTCACTGATAAGTACAATAAAATATAAAGTAAAGACGCATAATGTGATGTAGTCGAGACCAAACCTGTTTTCCTAAATCTTCGCCTCAAACTTGACTATGTTTCCTCGGGAATTAATTACATAATACATGTTGCTTTGTAAAGGACCTCTCCAGCTACCGGGTTTATCTCACATTAAAAAAGAATTTCTCACTGAGACAAACAAAAGTTAGCAGGTTCTCTTTTCATGTTACTTCCAACTGCACATACCAATGCACATGTACATGCCACAGCATATGCATTGGATGAACAGGAAAAGTGGTTTGTAACTGTGTGTCTGAGCATATTCCTTCCAAGGGGTTTGCAACGGATGGGTGGGAAAGACCTCAATAACACTATTGCTCATCATCTAACTGATACTGGCATGAAGTTAATATCCAAGAGTTGTTTAAAATAGTTAATAAACAGATCATTTCGAAAGCGTTTGGCTGAGGCAGTAGCCATTAAACGACTGAAACTAAACTCAAGTATTTGGACAGAAACAGTTATCAGTCTGTGCCTACCATGGCGAAAATGTTGTGTTGTCGATAATCATGATTTCAGTGTGCATCATTTTTGACTGATACACGATTACTATTATTTCATTTTACTCCCTCGACTCTAATGACTAAATTCTTCGTATCTTATTTTCTTGGATAATGTAAATCCTCTGACCTTTTCACGCACACTTTACGTAATCTTTATCAGTTAACAAATTTCAGCTGTCTCTTCCTCCGTTCTTATCTAACTTCCACTCTTGAATATTCGTGGAATATTCCTGTTAGTTCTCGTCTATTTATTCACTCAAGTCATGTATTTCCAATCATGAAACATAAATATTATTTTTTCTTCAAGCCAATAATTCACTACCAAACTGATTAAAGCATGTAAACTTTTGTCTAAATTAACGCTAAAATTGTTTTCATTTGATAAGCAGCTGATTAGAAACCCCAAAATAAAACGGACCTATGCATTCCTCTAAAGTTCTTGTTGTTGGTGCATTTAACTTTGTCAAGGGAAAGAATTGTATGAAGCGTAATTATCATCATATTTCAAACCTGAAAAACAGGTCACACTTTCTTCGATCCTATGCTTTTCACATCACTTTCTTACCTTATAGACAATCTCCTAACCTTTTTATTAACCATACAGATCACCTTAAGTAGTTCCCAACTACTGAAGTTGTTCAATAGAAGTATATTTCGTAACCATACCAAATTTCTCACCTTCTGTCTTGCAGCATATTGGTTAATTATGCAATCTCAATGTAGTATCAAGCAATAATGTGCTATGCACATTGTTGTGTAGACTCAGTAAATAATATCTTCAACAAGAGAAGTTTTCTTCGCCAAATTGTCTTTCCTCGTCAGTACTTCGTGAATAGCAATAATTTAATATTTGTTATTTTTAAAAACGTTTTACCGGTTTCACAAGCATAATAACTGAGAAAACTCAAAGTTTAGAATATATGTAACAAAACGATCCTACACCTGTTGACCCCTGGAGAGTAATGAGTTTCGTCAATGTCGTCTAGTCATAGCTACTGCTGCTGTTCATGAAGCTAAGAGACTTACAGTGACGATGCATTTGGATTATTGTTGGTCGGTTGAAAGGCTATCGACAGGAAGCTCTGAAGCCACGAGTTCAGTTCTTTAAGTAATCATCAGTCGTAGATCAAAAAGAGTTTCCTTCCAAGTGACTCCAACCGACAAGTACCAATCATAGTAATCCCAATCTTAACAGATATGTGGATAGTGAGCTGTTGCCTACTGTCGGCTACAGTATCCGGATTTCAAAATGTGGTACTTTAACCTTGCTAGCAGATAAAATGAATAATGTTGTCTAACTAGTTGGCTAACAGTTAGGCTCCTGTTTTGAGCCTTGTGGTGTCTCAAGCTATCTTTCAACTTCACTCACCATTCTCTTACTCAAAAATTCATCACTGTCCATCCTTTAAAAGGAAGAAGACACAATGAGGTTACACCAATAACTTAAGTTCTACTTTAGTAGTATTGTATGGTGGATATCACTTGAATTCACGTTGCAAGTTTCTACCTGTTCAAGTCTCATCGGGTAAGTGTATTCACTTCTTATTGACTGGTAAATATTGATGTTTTCAAAGGACGGATACACAAGAAATTCACGTCTCTCTCAAAGCATTCATTCTATAGTTTAAGAAAGTCTACAGTTGCATGAAACTACATCACAACATCTACAGTGGTGAGTGTTACAAGTATTCATTAATAAAACAACAGTCGTATGGTTTTACGCATAGTCACAAATAAAAAGCTCCTCTGTTCACTTTCGTACCTACGAATACTCATCAGAGAAGCTTTTACAACATATCTAGTGTAGTCTCTTTCAAGTATTAAATACCCCTTCTAGCATTCAAACAAAATATTCACTTTAATCGAATTCGCAAATAAAATATGTTCATCTAGTTGATATTTCGTGTAAAAGTTGCCAAAATACAGTTCAGTCTCTGAAAACTTCCCGTCAATAACTGAGATATTCTAAAGAAACTCTGTAAATAACGAAGCACCTACAGTCGAATCCCTCCTACTTGAATATGATATTTCTGTGCCACACACTTCTTTCTCCTAAAGACATTAAATTCAAAGTTTCCAAGCTTTACGTCTAGTTAACAGTATCCAACCAATAAAATGGAACCTACTCACCGATTATATCCAGTAGAATAAAACAAAATTCCATTTGTTGATCAATCTTTCTGTCTTCTATTTCTCTCTATAGGTAATCGTTTCAACACAATACAAGCTCGACGTAATTATATCGCTCATAATGATTGTGGTCATCGTACAATGATACATATTAATGGTGTATTAAGTCAACCGTTTGCTGATAACTTCATTTATGATAATCGTGCTGATATTCTCCTTATATGTGAAGGTGATGAAAATTTAAATCAATATTCAATTTATCAAAAAAACGGCTTCTATAATAATCAAGCATTAAATAGCACAAAACGTACAACAATTTTCTGTAAAAATTCTAAAAATTTATTTCGATATAATTATCTAAGGAATATACTCAATGATTATGAGCTGGTAACTGGAAATCAAAGTATAATCAGGTGAGTTGATGAATGATTTTTTATCAATTTGAAAGTCTATTGGAGTACTTTACCGATTTCAAGTTGGTATTTATCTCAGAATGACATCAATTGTAGAATCAATGAAAACCTGAGAACACTGGACACCTGTTTCATCCTGGTATAGGACTTCTCGTTAGATCTCAACTTAGTAGCTGAATGGTTAACATGCTTGACAAAAGATTTGAAGGGGTCGTGTGCCTACTGCTGAGGAGTTGCGTAGTATGACAAAACAGCTGTCCAGTGCCCCCAGCTTTTCAATGGTTATCTACTGATATCAGCCTGTGATGAACACTACCATGAAATATGTGTTTGTTCCAGGATGACGGATGAATTCCTTACTACAATTCTTATTAGGAAGGTTATCTACAGACATCTAGAAACATCATGGATATTTACTACCGAGAAATGAAATTCATCGACCCGTTTACTGGACAATGAGCCACGCTTAATGTTTGTCCATCTAAAATAGATCAGGGAATAATTCCTAGTCTCTAATAACCACTCAGTGTGTACATAACATTTCATGAGAACATTTTGACAACTTCATGTCGTCTTGCAAACCTCAACATAGTGGATGTTACTAAGGGATTTTTGTCTCACATAGATTAGTGGTTAATAATGCACAATTGACAGGATAATCTTGATTACCACCTGTATAAGTTAAAACTTAGAAACCATTTCAAGTTCCTTAAGTCATTTGTGGTTTGATTAGTAAGTATCAATATATGACTTGGTATTACAGTGTAACAGTCCAAGTTGTTATATCACAGATGAACAGACTGAAGTAAACGGAGACGAGAGAAAGAATAGAGAATGAAAAAGTAAATAGTGAAATATAATACAACAGTTAAGCTGAAGGTAAAGCGTCGAAATATCTATGCCTATGTGATTTCACTTACAGTCTCTAAACGTCAGTTTCTGTTTCCTCATATATACCAACCTGAGATCCGACATTTTCCTACATGGCTTATGGCAACTGGCAGATACTTCACGAAATGATGCCTTTGGTCTTTTTATCAACCTAACCCGATTTCAACTGACATCACACGTCGGGAAAGACGATGACTGCTCATACGTAACACATGGATAAGTGGAGTTGGTCGATGAACGTTTGCCATTTCATGAACTGAATTACTTATTTCACTTAGTAACCTACTGTAACTGTACATTACATGGAGGTTCCATAACACACTAGAAATGCTACGAAGGCAACGGTAGTCGAATATCAGAATTCTTCTGCCATCCTCCACCTTTGATCGACATGTTTTACAGCCATAGAGTAGAACAGATGATATTTCTGCATAATAAACTCAACCTTTTGTATGAGTTATGTAGTGTAAAGTTCTTGAAGGTCAATCGATTCAGTCCTGGAGTTTCTGATGAAAGTACTAAGACAGGGATATCGGAAACTCCTAGAAAAAATAACTTTCAACAAGGTCACAAATATATCTCAGAGATAGTTTCTTAACAGAACTTATTAGCCAACACATTGCTTTCAATTAGATCCCCTTTAGGCTCTATTGTAATACAAATAGCTGGACATTTATGTAAAAATTAAACCAATCAGGTAGATTTATCGGTCAATGATCAGTGTTTTGAAATATACAGATATTATTAACGATGATGATGTATCGTCGTATACTTCTCCTAGGGTTCAAAGAGATTCAGCATTGATGCAGACCTTCATAGTTTTATCAGACTCGCTAAGCTGAAGGCACACCGTCAAGCATCCACATCATTTAGCATACTGTTGTGTTACGTTCCACTGCCCGCAATCAACTCTCTAGCTGGAACTCATCGGTAATCTGACATGACCTCGCAAATACACTATTCCATTAGACTACGCTACTGTGTTCTTCCTTGACCTTGTATTCGTGGGCATACTGCAAGTACGAATAATTAGTGATTGGCCTCTGCGTCTGTCTAGCTTGCACAGGGAGCGTCCCTAAAGTGATAATAATAAAAATAGGCTTGGTTTGGCAGATTTGTATTGATGCTAAGTGATGATTGAAGATGAAACGAAAATTTGGGCAGCGGTAGGATTCGAACCAGTGGCCACCAGGTTTCCAGTCTGGTCCTCTACCAAATGACCTACGAGAACCGATTGCTGATCAGATTTTTTTATTTCACTTCAATCACCAAGGGTTTTGTCCGACTGCCATATGAATTTGTGATGAGTTACTACCATTTGGACGTACTGATACTGGCTTCTCATCCCAACCTAAATCTACTTAGATTAGAGATGAGAAGTCTTGACTGGGCAACCAGTGTGGAAACGATCTAGTGACAGTGAATCATCACGAATCCACATGGCAATCGCGGAAAACCCTTGGTGATTGAAGCGAAATAGAAACCTAGTCAGCAATTGAACCTCGTAGACGATCAGGCTAGAAACTTGATGGTCGCTGGTTCGAATACTTCCTCAGCCCAAATTTCCAGTTTGTCTTCAATCGCTATCCAGTATGAATAATAAAATTACTAATAATTAAGTTAGAAGTCATAATAACAGAGCTAACTAAAGCAGTTGATGATAAGAACCAAGAAAACAGCATGAAAATGTAGACACTCCAATAATTAAAATGTGTCAAAGGCTTAAAATACAAAAGTTGTGTAACAATAAAGGATGAAGTAAGAGGATAGACAAAGTTCAAACAGACATAATAAGTACATGAAAGGAGTGAAAAATGAAAAAGGGATAGGAAATTTTCAAAGATGCAGCTGTTTATTAAATATTCCCTGGTCAAAAGAAAGATAAGGGTTGTACAAACTTCGTCAGGGTACAAAAACTGGGCCTGTGAGTTTGAACTTCTATAGTTTCCAGTATGTATGAATTGATAACTGAAATATCACTTAGAAGTTTAAGTGTTATGTAATAGATAATCTTGGAAACATTGTTCTTATCTATCAAGTGACCAGTATTAACCAGATGAAATCAAAATGAGCTTCTTGTGGATTTCATCTATCCTTTTACTAACCATGAAGTTAGATGCTCAACAACACGTTTGTTAAGTTGCCTAGTAGTACACCCTACATAACTTTCTTCATAGGAGCATGGAAACAACGAAACTAGATAACTTGTCTTTCATCTGAAGAACAATGATTGATCGTCTGAAATATGATAAGCCAAGTTTAGTGGAGTGGAAAGTTCTCTTAATGACTCTACATAGTCTCTGATATAAAAATTTGCTGGCAACATCTCCATTGAAGTGCAGTTTCATAAATAGATTTACTTTCTCCCGTTTTATCCGTGTGTTTTTTTCATAAAACTATTAGAATGACCCATTTCAACCAGTGAGTTAAGCATACATGCTAACTGCTTATATAATAAATTGTCAGAATATAATCTTCTCGTTCGATTGGTTAACTAAGTTCGATGTATACCGAATGGGCACGCAGCTAAGAAGATGTACGCACTGACTTAACAACACGATCTTCTGGTACACATATCTACTAAGTGAATCCTCTACTTTTCTGTAAAGGAAAATATCGATAAAGTGTGGTTTACTTGCATGTTCTAAGTGGAGGGTGCATCTCAATGAATTTGCTAAACAGATCGTTTATATCCACACCCTGATCACGAATAACAAATATATCGTCGATGTAACAACTGACTGCAATTTCTAGTGATCATACAAAGTTTCAAAAACTTCGTTACTCTTCAGGCTTTAATAGCAAGGTGGAAAAACAGATTACAAACACCATCATGAAACTAAAAATAAATCTGGACATTTTCTCAACAAGCGGAGAACCTAAATTAGGCAAAGATTCCTGCTGACTTTTTTATAGTAGCAAATTCAAAAGATTAATTCTCGTTGTGAACTGAAAGACTGATAGAATAACTGCCATAAACACACTGAAAAAAGTCAGTAAAGTGAACCACATGTCTCTTCAGACTACAACTTATCTATTCATCATTGAAAAAAAGTAGGTACAACCTGTATTATGAAGAGTGATCAGTTGTCTTTGAGTTGTTCTACTTGATCCTAAATCCTTCATCACCACCGTTATAGGTGCCAGTTTCGTAGTGCATATCGAAGCTGAGAAAAAAATCAAATATTTGTCAATCTTATTTTCAGCTGAAAATCTCCTCTTATTCTAAAACCACCTCCATAATCGTATATATGTCTACTACTATAAATATCGATTAATTGCTCAACTTCTTAGTCGGTCTAGAGAATATCAATCAATTACTGACATCCACAAGACAATAGAGAGTAACCGCAGGAACTTCACCTTCTAATCCAGTTAAGTTTGGAAAATCTCTGGCAAAAGTACATGGTCTAATTAGAAGACGAAATTTATCTGAACAATGTGATGTATTTATGCAATACATTTCGAACAATCTGATTAAGCATTTACTTGTCAATTCAACTTATATAGAACAGTAGAATGGGAAGACATATAGAACCATAAACATCCAGACCATAGTTATTACGAATGTCCTGGAAGAAGTTGAGTGCTGAGTCTGACTGAATCACTACAAGAATATATTTCAATATATTCCCAAACTGTTCAGAAAATCAAAACAATGTATTTTTGAACGTGAAAAAAACGACAGGCAATATCGAGGCATCCTCTCGGGAGCCCATATGCCATTAGAGACCGATCAGTTCTGTCCAGTCAACGATAAGATAGCACAAGTAACATCATAAGAAGGAAAAAGGATGTGACTGATCATAATCTTGGTAAGAAGACAAAGTTTACCAAGCAAGATGTAGTGTAAGAACAAATCGGGCTTTGTACATACAAAGGTGGTTTCAATTTCTGTTTGGTGAATTGCAATGTGCTTCCCTAATTGTTTCGATATAAAACTTTGAAGCTATGTGGGCATTAGTCTTGTGAACTGTCTCTATAATGTGTTTAGCTACAGACAGAAAGGGTCATCTCTCACCTGCGTATGCCACAGTATCCCACTCCATCTGTTTTTGAAGCCTTTTAGGTATATGTTCTCCTACCCGTAACTGTATGTTTTGATTTTCCTCCCTATGTATGGATAACAACATACACTTTCTTATTTACTTCAATGTCGTGAAGTTTACAGCGACAAAGAAGCTTTATATCACCTACGAGACATATCATTAATCCACTTTTTTAAATTAAAATAAGCGATGTTATCTTCCTAGTATTACCATGTAGTTATTATTTTTCACCCTACTTATAAGTAGTGTAAAATATAAAGGTAAATAACAGCAGAATTCAGGTTGTGAGTTTAAGCTTTCAGTCATACAGGTTATCAATTGAATTAACGACAAATCCAGCCGGCATAAGTTCGAGTCCCAGATAAAGCGAAATTCGAAATAGTAGATAAAATGATTAGCGTGAAAATAGAGAAACCTTCTTATTGGAACATCCTACCAGCTGCCTTCGAAATTCCCACACGGAACATAACACATCCCTTTGACGAACTAATCAGTAGTTATCATAATGCATTGACTGAACAGTAACCAGTGCTTATTCTTACACTTTATTTAAGTACATTACTCATAAAATTGTCATAAAAGTTAGTATATTTGGTCTAGTTCAATACTGAAATTCTTTTCTTCTCATAGTTCAATGCCTATACAACCAGGATCACAGTGTCCAAGCACGCCTTATTCATCCTGTCCTCAAGGATTTCAGTTAAGACTGGAATACGACGCTTGCATATGCTACAGACCAGATCAAATTGATGCACAGTACAATTGGTGGGGTGATACATCATCATCCTCGTCTAGCAGGCAATTACTCCCAAGCGACTCCATCAAATCAATGAATGTAGGTACCGATAGAAACTTAAATCAGATCATTTCACAAATTTATGCACAAAGTCGGATTTATGACCATAGAGACGATGCTTACCGTATAACAGTTAACTATGCCAACTCGTATAAGGATAATAGTTCTATTCTAGGCCAGGGAACTTATTGCCCTCCGAATTGGGATTTTCATGAGTTCAATTGTTTCTTCTATTTTGGAGCACCAATGACATATCAAGAAGCGCATGATTTTTGTCTTTCTGAAGTTGGTGGAATCTTAGCAAGTAAGTTTTAAGGTTATGTGTCAATTTATTTCCCACTTTTCAGGTTATTACTGTACTGGTCTTCAAACTATCACAGCCTTCTTAAGATGCGATGAAGAACGTCAACATTTGAATGCTATCCAAACTGAGTAGACCATATTTGTATTTGAATTATTCAGGCCTGAACAAAGCCAAAAACTATACGTGCCTTCAATCAATACTATTCTACCGACAAGTTTTTATTTTTATATATAGGCTACTCGCCAGTAGTATAAAATCGCCCACAAAAAATGTCAATCAAGACATTAGGGAGGCTACTAATTACCAATGAGGAATCCATAGAACTATCACTCTCTCCAGTAGTTTTCATGATCAAAATACTATAACATTTATTGTAAACCACTAGAAGTAGCATGAAGATACAGTTGTAAAGTCGGGACTAAGTAATCCATCTGAATTTTGTCGATACCTACCTACTATCAGCACTGTTACTCTGCTAAGACGCTGTAGTACTACTCAAATACCACTAATAAACAAGCATTAGATGTTTGCATGATAGCCAGTAATAGTGACCTCCATTCCTGTTCATATTCGTCCAGTCAAGATCAAATTTTCACACTCTAAGTTGTGGTGAACCCACCGAAATCTATGCAAAATGATAGGACTGGTGAATAACTCCTGTATTGTATTGGTGAATACATTTATTGATTTGAGAACAGATTGATTGATTATAAGAAGTCTTCTGATTGCTTGTAAAATATATCTTATTGCCTCTAAAACTTCAAAAAATGGTCATATACCTTTTGGAGAGGCTAAATAGAGGATTAAATGAGCTCTGTGAAAGGCCACCAGTACGGAGCTATCACATTTCATTTTTGAAGCCTTCTGATAGCACTTGATCACCTACACTGAGGCATATGGAGTTGGAACAGGGAAAAGAGGGAGCCTAGGCAACAAATATAGCTAATTTTGCTTTATTCTTGTGAGGATAGTGAGTTTGTGAATCTGACATCTATTTATTAAATCCTCCTATGATATGACAAGGGAAAGTCATGACGCTAAATTTTGTGTTCGATCGGTTATACCAGTAAAGCAACTGAAGCCCACCACCTTTTTATACCAATAGACATCCTAATAACTTGTAAATAGTTCCAGAATGCAGAATAAAACAGACAAAAAGGATTGCTGTGGCTCTCCAGAGCTAAAATCTCGTTACTTCAGTAGATCAAACAACGTCATGAACCTCATTTCCTTTTTAACTTGGATTTCAACAAAATGAAGTCATCAGAAGAACCTTAGACCACCGGTGGTTCCGTGTTCTGTGAGCATTAGTAAGGACAAGTATCCGCTTTTCATCTTACATGCCCAATCACAACTTCTCAGTTACTTCGTCATGTGACTTGGATGCTCTTTACTCCTGGTCAATAGACTGGATTTCTTTCCTATATCCTTCTAATATCTACGGCGCAAGCGAATAAATGTGATGAGTTTCACGTTAGTTGATAATATTCGTTTTAGTCGGACAAATGACTTTAGATTGAATAAGACTGTATCAATCATAGCATGACAGTCCTGATGCTTGTTTATTTCTCTTAGCATCACGTGATCGCGTTGACTGGTTGAGTAAACGCTTATCAGAATGGCAACATAACTATAACTGGATAAATCAATATACTTTGGTGACTCGAGCATGGGTGTATAGTGATGTTCGTTTCCCTGCTCATTGTCCTGTAGTACAAAATGGATGGTTGGAGGCATATCCATGCAGTAAGAAAATTGGCTTCTTCTGTCAGAAGGGTAAGTTTAATATACAGTTTCTTATGAACATTTTTTCAAGTGGAAATGAATTTTACCGACCTGCGTAGGATACAGCTTATTGAACGAATTCTAACAGTACTTCTCTTTCAGACTAACATTGCGCAGAGGAATGAAGATGACGATTAGTGGAATGGATTATATCATCCTTCAACTACTTAACCAGCCACCTATTTCTTTCAGCTTCGTTCTTCTCCTATTCGAAATTCCCCATTCAACTCGTCTGCATCATTTGCCTTGGGCCTAACTATACGCACATAAAAGATGCACAATCCAACATTGATTTAAATAGCCTTATCCAGCTATTTATGAGGATCACAACACATACTTTTCTTTCGTTTCCAAATATCCATCAAATTTAAGACCTCCGGTGTTCATGTGACATTTTCTAGTACCCTTGAAATAGATGAATTGGATAGTAGATACAATCTATTTACAACTAGCGGTTAAGACAAGAGAAACAAAGACTGGCTAACAAGGTCAGTCTTTTTTTTCTAGAGAACAAAAACCAAACCCTAATTTTCGTTGAAAGCATTTTGCGATGAACAATAGCCTTTTTCACAATATCTGTTTTCTGATGATCTTGTACAAAATAGGTGAAGCCTTAGAGAAAGAAAATTAAGATTCAGCCTGTCATTTGTTTATTTTGACCAATCAAAACCTAGCTGCAATTTAACCTTGTCCTAAAATAGCCTGTACTTAAATGACCTTTGTATGTGTTATTTTGATTGGTTACTTGTAGATCGCATTATTATTTCTATGTCAGCTGACTTTCGATCAAAGTTATCTTCTTTGTTTGAGTAACCTCGAAATAACAAACAGGCATTCTTCCCACCGTTAATCGAATTTTTCCGCATAGTCCTTTTCAAAAAAAGGTCATGTGAAATGTGTTACTACTGATCCACTAATATCTAAAATGAAGCAATATAGTAAAACAAAAAAGTTTAGTGTGCCCAAGGAAATCAATATCGTGGTGTGTCAACTGTGCATTTATTCTATACTTAACATTATTTAAATCTTGTTTAGTGGAAATACGAAGCGTAAGAGAGGAGGTAGGCGACTACATACTCGTGTGTAAAGTACTGTCTAAATTTTCAGAGACCATTAGAAACCATGGTGTGAACACTCTGCATATATGTCTACTAATAGTAAGTAGATCTATTTGCTTTAGCAATTGAATAAGCGAAAACTTGTCAGCCAACCCATCAACTAAGTAAAAGGAGTATTATCCCTATAAAGTCTTTACGCATATATAAAGTTGATTAGCTCGAGAACCGGTATAAATAACTCTTCCATATTACCAGGATAGGGAAATGCATACGGTGTACTTTAGTTATGCTTAAAATTTACTGATAATAGCGTAGAAGTCATCAGCTAAAAATGTCATATTCTGTAAAAAAAATGTTCTCCCCACTAACGTACGTGAAGTTTAGAATCGTTAAAATCTGGGTTAAGCAGCGTTCTATTTTCCCCTTAGCTTGCAAATCCCTCGTCATACCCCTGCTGAATCCAATATCAGAAAGTTTTCCTCAACTGGCAACTCTATTCAGAAGAAAACTGCCAGTAAAGCAAAACCTAAAAGTCGGTATTTTTTCAAATTAATTCCATAGACAACGACTGACAACAACACCTTCTCATCAGACTTTGAAGTCTCTGCTTGGTGGTGTAAGCTGTATAAGGAGATGTGGACTTCCCGGTCAAAGTTCGCGAAGCAGACGAAACTGTCTATTTGGAGGCTAGGTAGTGGGGGGGCTCAGAACCAACACGCGTATTGTCTTCATCCTAACTGTTATGTATAAATCATCATTATTTGTCTTACTTCCGTCTTCCTCTCTTTTTACGGCTTTCAGTTCCATTTTTAAATAATTGTCTTCCATCTAATCGCCTTGTGTCATGATGTGCTGGTGTGAAATGTGGTAATGGTAGGTACCATACTGAAAATGACTAACCGACTCTAAGATATCTATAACGATGTCCAGCAAAATACTTTGTTGGTTTATACCCTATATCCTGCAGTGATGTTGGATGTCTGGACTGACAACGAGTCCTATTTTTCCCGAAATTGCATTTGTAGTGTATGCCAGAAGACTTTTCAAGTAGTTGAATCAATCTAATAACAACTTCAAGTTGACAAATACGACTGATACAAGCACAGGAAGTAATCGATCACATATTTTCCTACTTCTCTCCAATCTACATGTTTCCATATGTTCACCATAACCAATAAAATGTATTCACACATTCAGTTTAAAACTGTAGCTCATGTAAAATGAAAACTGCTACTTGGGTTCAGACGAGTTGTTGTTAACCTATCAGCTCAAAGTATCTGACGAATTAAACATCCGTACAAAAAAAACTACTAGTTAGGCTAACCTATACGCAACTTAGCTAAATCACTTTCAATCTGTCTAGCTTTGTTCTGTAAAGAATACTTCAAACGGTGAGAGAAGGGTTGATATCTGTAGAGTAACTATGACTTCCTTACGGTAGCCAAATGCCTCGCCTTCTCATTAGTGACACTCATGAATCCCTCGCCGGCGGCATTCATTTAGTTTTCCTGGCTCAACATAGGGTTTTGCTGATGATTCTGATGACCATGGTGTTTTGAGCTTATTTGGAAGAAGGTGGACCTGGTCATGGGTCCTACTAATAAGCAGTTGTCAACCCAACCTCGCCTGGTTAACTAGTTTACTAGTTACTAGCCGGTCCTAAGCCCGGGTAAAGAGGGAAGGTTGGGCATAGGGCTAGCAACCCTACCCCGTAAAACAAATCTAACCGCTAAAGAAACTTCAAAGCACAAACAAAATATAAAAAATGAAAACAAACTTATTCCCCGCTGGAATCGGAGAGGCGAAATGACGCCAGTTGGTGAAAGCCTGCCTTCGGGAAGCCAACTGGCCGATGTGTGTCCTCTCTCTCTCTCAATGAAAGCGAAAGTAAACGTGGGGACATGGAATGTCCGCACGGTGTTTGAACCCAGTAAGGCAGCCCAGATTGCAAAGGAGATGAGAAGGTATCACATCGTAGTGCTTGGGATTTGCGAAAGCAGATGGAATGGGAGTGGACTCTCCAAACTGTCAACTGGAGAATCAATAATCTACTCCGATATTGTCACCCAGACGCCAACCACGAGCACACTGAGTTTTGGAGTGGCTATCATGATGTCCTCAAGAGCATCGAAGGCTGTCTCTCATGCAGTGGGAACCAATCTCCTCCAAGATCAGGATCATGACAGCAAGATTCAACTCAAAAGGAAGAAAGGTCACAATCATACAATGTTATGCACCTACAAATAATGCAGAGCAAAAGAAAAAGGAGGAATTCTACAGACAACTTCAATCAACACTGGACAAGACGTCAGTTGGCGATATCAAAATTCTAATGGGCGACATGAATGCCAAACTGGGAGGGGACAACACAGGAAGAGAACTAACCATGGGTCGAGAGGCGCTAGGTGAAATGAATGAGAATGGAGAATTGTTTGCAGAATTCTGTGCATTCAACCATTTGGTGATTGGAGGCAGTGTGTTCAGGCACAAGGATATCCACAAAGCGACATGGATTTCACCAGACACCAGGACACACTAAAAATCAAATCGACTTTATCTCAATCTCAAGAAAATGGAGACGCAGTCTACTTAACACAAGGTCAAGAAGAGGAGCAGATGTAGGCTGATACCACACACTGTCTAGTGCAAGGAACCTTCGAAATCAAGTTAAAAGCCTTCAAGGAAGCTGGTGATAGACCTCAATTCAAGTACAACACTCGGAAACTGAAGGATGAAACTACAAAGGAGATCTTCACGTCAGTCAGCCATCAAGACAAAATGGGAGACATCGAGCAACATCCTTGAAGAAACCTGTGTGGAAGAACACTGGAAGTCTTTGAAAGAGATGTGGAAAGAAACCTGCACAACAGTATTAGGAAGGAAGAAGAAAGAAGACAGGACAAGGAATGGATCTCGACGGATACCTGGAAGCTGATAGAGGAGAGGAGGATGGTGAAGCAGAAGATAAACCAGTGCAAGGATGCTCAACGACAAGAGGAACTGAGCACAATGTATAAAACACTGGATAAAGAAGTGAAGAAGAGTGCACGCAAAGACAAAAGACGCTTCTACGAAACACTGGCAAGTGAAGCAGAACAGGCTGCAGGTAGGAGAGACCTGACAACATTGTATCAAATAACCAGGTTACTATCAGGGAAGAGACCAACACAGATGAAACCAATAAAAGATGAAGAAGGAAATTTAACTACAAAAGAAGAGAAACATAGGAAACGATGGGCCGACCACTTCAAGAAGCTCTTGAATCGACCACCACCTGCACTTCGTCCCGCCAGAAGCACTGAGAACAGATGCAGAGACAACAGCGGACATGCTCACACCACAACACTATTGCAGAAGGTGTGGAAGGAAGAGAAGGTACCTGCCTATTGATAGGAAGAAGGGTTACCTTGTCAAACTGCCGAAGAAAGGAGACCTCAATGCTTGCAAGAACTGGCGCGGAATCACTCTCCTGTCCACCCCAAGTAAAATATTAAGCCGCATCATCCTGGAGAGGCTTAAAGATGCACTGGATTCAAAACTGCGACCGGAACAGGCAGGCTTCAGGAAGTACAAATCATGTGCAGACCAAATTGCAACGCTTCGCATCATCATAGAACAGAGCATAGAATGGCAATCAGCTCTCTGCCTCAACTTCATCGACTTTGAGAAGGCCTTTGACAGCGTCGACCGAGAGGTAATTTGGAAACTTCTTCAATACTACGGAGTACCGCAAACCTTTATCCGCCTCATTCAACAACTATATGAATATGTCACATGCCAAGTAATCCACAATGGGAAGCTCAGTGGTGCCTTTGAAGTGAAGACAGGAGTGAAACAAGGTTGCCTACTATCCCCCATGATATTTCTGATTGTGTTCAACTGAACTGGATCATGCATCAAACAGTGGGGAGCGAGAAGAGGGTGATACGCTGG